GAAGGGGTGAGGTGAGGGGTAGACAGATTTGCGTGTGATCCCCTCTACTTAAACTGAAGAGGATGGAGTCCCCTTCTGTTTTTTTTTTTTGTGGACCCAGCGGTGGGTTAGTGTAATCCTCCATAGGGATGAATGGACCTGCATTGTCATAGATACCAGCTGTCCTGAATTTGCCGGGACAGTCCCCCATCTAAATGCTCTGTCCCAGGCTGTATTCAGCTATCATCGCATTAATCTTATGTAACTTACTAAGCATGCACAGTAATTCAAAAAAGAGTAATAGAGAGGGGATCATAACTGCCATTGGGTAGCTAACACATAATTAGGGATGGAACCACCGAACAAGTAGGACTTCGTGGGATGTAGGTGTGAGCTGAGTGGGACCACCCAGTAAAGGAGCTTGATTTATCTGGGCGGGGGTGACAATGTCCCAGGGACTGGAACAAAAATGTTTGCAGGTATGCATTGTCACCCTGTCACATGGAATTCTAATGGAGTCTACGGCCGTGCCAACACACCCAAGCCTTATCCATCCTAAGAAATGTCATGCAGCCATCGCTGAAGTGCGTGCGTGTAGACAGGAAGTGGCTGCATAGAGTTGGCAGGAGATCAGCAGCACAGAGATGCAGGAAAGCATAAAAAAGTTAAACAGTATTTAAAAAATACCAACTGTTTATGATAAACAGAGCTTTAGCAATCTAAATGATCATTCAGTTAAGGGCTACGTCTACATTAATTGCTGTCAGTCTGTGATATCCGTGTAGTCAGCATAGCTACACTTCTGGCCCTTTGCTCTGGATCAGACCTATTAATCCTTTCTCTGTCATTGCGAGCCGGGAGAATAAACACCGCAACAATTACCCCCCACCCACTTCATCATCAGAATGCATTTTATTTTGGTTCTTCCTTAAGTATCCATGACGGCGACGACCTTTCTATAGCGGGAGGTAGCTCCTGTGACTGGAGGGATGTCCGATTGTGATCTCGCACAGATTGCTGCTTCAGCAAGGTTCCATTTCTGGTCTCTGGCAAGGTCCTGCTTCAATTTCAAGGTGTCCTCACTAGGTGCTTGTGAAGGTTTCTCTCTCTCTTTTTTTTTTTTTTTTTTAATGGATTCGCTTGATATACCATCCAAATGGAGTACTTTGTGCGTTAATTCAGTTTGTGATAAAGATCCCTTTTACCCTTCTTTTCATAATTCTTTCTACAGATATGAAGTACACTAGAAGGTTAGACGTGGCATTTAATTTTTTTTCCCACAAAACCTATCCATACAAGGGAAAGCAGAAAAAAAAAATTCAATTTCATTACTATTCATGTGTAAGAATATTGAAGGTAGTATACTAAAGAGATAACTATTTCTTCTTCTATCACTGCAAGAGCAAATCTATCTTGGAACAAGGAGCTTGATTCTTATTTAAAAGATAAAAGGTCATCGGCTGCACCTATTACTACAAAGACACGCGCTTCTTGTAGCAGGGCGCTTAACCTCTCCAATCCCAGAAGGCCCTGCAGGGCATAAAATTGTCCGTGGTGACAGGCTCTTCTGAAGATGAGCGGAGTATCTGTTAAAGTATTTCTTTCATTGAATAAAAAAGCAGATTTTTTTTTTGTAATTGGAGAGCTGCTGAAATCAATAAATATAACTCATTTTAAAGCAGACATATTTAAAAAATTTGCATGATTTTTTAAAAATACGTAAACTTTACAAAATCACAATTAGTAAGATAAAAAGTATCTGTTTATTGCATTAAATACAAAAAAATAACTGTTTCCGAGTGCCTTTGTATGACCTAAGGTAAAAGATGTCTAGGCTTTCAAGAGAATTAAATTTTCTTCCTGCCTGAGACACTAGCACTAGGATAAGCGAAGCAGCAGTTCACAACATTGTGTGCCACTGCTAAAAGTGAATATGTGGGCAGCACAGTGGCTGAGTGGTTAGCACTTCTGCCTAGCAGCACTAGGATCATTGATTTGAATCCAAACCATGGTACTACTTCAGATTGCATGCTCTATTCCGGTTTCCTCCGGGTATTCCGGTTTCCTCCTACACTCCAAAGACATGTTGGTAGGTTAATTGGCTTCTGTCTAAATTGGCCCTGGTATGTATATGTATTTATGAATATGATATTAGATTGTAAGCTCCATGAGGGCAAGGACTGATGTGAATGTACCATATATATGTAAAGCTGCATAAATTGATGGCACTATATAAGTCACTATAATAAATAAATATAAGGGCCCATTTATGCCATTTTCATGGGGTTGCACTGGGCAACCTTGCTTAACATGTAGAAAATGTAAAAAAAAGGCAATTTGCCTTGAGTCGTAGAAATTCAGTTCACAACGCTGTGCTGCAGTGGTAGGCACTAAAAAAAAGTGAGACAGTGCTGTGTGTTGGCGGCATACTACACTGCATCACAACACATTGTGGTGCATAAAGATTATTAATTAAATTATTATTAATATTATACAGGATTTATATAGCGCCAACAGTTTGCTCAGCGCTTTCCAATATAACGGGAGACAATACAGCAACAATACAGTTCATTACAAGAGGGATAGGAGGGCCCTGATCCTTGCAGCTTACAATATAGGAATGTTGTCTTTTGACATTTCAATAAAGTTGAAAAAAAAGTAAACAGTGTTTATTGTTACAACAAATTGGCACCACTCTCTTCACAGTGCACTTCTGCAGCTGCTGAATAACTCAACCACTGGTGTGAACAAGCTTGTCTAATAAAAGCAAGTAGTGCTCTTCATCACTGCAGCACTCTGCAGGAGGTGTGTCAGACCATTGGAGATCCAGATTGCTGCACCCTTTGTTGGACCAGCAGCCAGGATCTTCAGTTTGTTGTTGGACAGTGCAGCTTGATTTAGTTTTGAAAGACAGCAAAAACTAACCGGGAACAAAGACAAAGCAAAAACAAAAAGAAAGTAGAAAGATAGTAGGAAAGGATCAGCATGGGTGAGGAAGACTGCCTGGGTTCCTAAAAAAGTAAAATCCTATTCTGGATACCTTGGAGGGATCAATATAGGTTAGATTTTGGGTTAGGTCAAAGCAAACCCTATTCATACAATTTAATTGCACAATTTTTTATAATTGTTTTTAGATTAACCAAAGCTTTATATAAGCACCACCTATACAATCTCAAGTATTCAATTAGGACCCAGATAGGCAAGCTTTGGTACAACATGTGAAGTGACCTCAGGTTATACACAGAGATGAAAAAAATCCTCCTACATTAATTGTATCTGTTTATCTGCAGTCTTCTCTTATCTACAGCCATTTAAAGTACTGCATTTATAAAGCTTGTTTGAGAGTGCAGAAAAAAGGAGGTGGAAAGCTGAATTTTCACTCTGCAGAGCTCAGTGAAGAGAGCTCTGAGAGCTGATTGGAGGGAAGAGACACACCTCCTCCACACAGCTCACAGGAACAGAGCTGAGGCTGTCAATCTGCTGGAGGTCCCTCCCCTGTTACCCCATTTTCTCTTGGTGTCAGGAAAACAAATTAGAAGTGATTCATGCTGATAGCAGAGGAACGAAACAGCAGATAGAAATTACATTTAGTGCTCTGGATAGACAAGTACACACTGTAGAGCAGGGGCGGACTGACCATTTGTAAACTCGGGCACTGCCTGAGGGCCCGGGGTCAGTAGGGGGCCCCATGAGATGCCCCTGGTACCTTTTTCATAGGCTTTTTTGAGTATGGGCAAGGACACAGGGGCCCCATGATCCCCTATTGCCCGGGGCCCCATGAGTTGTCAGTCCGCCCCTGCTGTAGAGGGATATGATTTGTTCATATTTAATTTACAACCACTTTAATTGTAGAGAAAAAGGTCATTGTACAATCAGATTGTAACTTGTATAACCATTTAGGAACATGGTACAATCAGGCTGTAATGTGTATGGCCAGCTTTAACGTTAGCATTGCAGCTAAATGCTCAGAATGAATATATTATTTTTTATTTTTCAGCTCTGAAAATGTATTACCAAAAGGACCAGTTCTTGGGTGCCGCACTAAAAATAAACATGGTTTTTAGCAGAGTTCTTCCTTAAAAAGATATTGAAAAGCTATATGGTGACAGAAGCCGTGACACCTGTGTGGTTTGATCTTACGGTGGTCTTAGAATTACAGCATTCAATTGAAAGTGACTAAAACATAAACACAAATGTCTAACCACAAGTGAGTTGAGTGAGGAAATTGAAGTCCCCTTCCCCTCCCGTGTTCCTCTGAGGTTTCTTAGTTCTATTTCAAGAGCAGCAGCTTCTGACTAATCATGTTTTGGAAACGGAGGTTGAGAGGATGTGTAGGCCGTAGCACAATAAGTTCCCCCGGATTCGGAATGACTGAGTAACCTGTGAATGTTAGTTTAGTGTTATCTTCTCATGCTCCGTCACACTTGAAGGAGACAAGGCTTACAAGAAGACGGGGAGATGTTGAGAAAGGCACTCCAACCTGAAGAGGGGGAGTGTGGTGGTTATTATTGTGCATTGGTGTCGTTTTTAGGAAACCTTCTGTTGGTTGGTACATGAAATGTGATTCATAAGACTGTAGGGAGCCCTCAAACGTTACTATCTATTAGTGTTTTGGTGAAGGTATCACTGTGCAAATCTCATGCCTTTAGTCTGGTTTTAGAACTGGTGACCTTTGTCATCAAGAAAGAAAATTAGGGGAAATCCACAGTTGTCCCCAGAACAAAATGTAAAGAAAAATCATCCAATTGGGGAAACCACTCACATTGGGAGATAGCCTCTTCATTCTCACTGAGTCTCTGAGACAGAAAGTGAAGAGAAAATACATGAAATTTAGCATCCCCTGTGGAAGGAAAAAAATGGCTACAGGAATTAAATTGACCTAACCAAACATGTTATTTTATGTGAGCACCACTCACATAACACTAGAGCAGGGGCGGACTGACCATTTGGAAACTCGGGCACTGCCCGAGGGCCCGGGGTCATTAGGGGGCCCCATGAGATTTCCCTGGTACCTTTTTCATATGCTTTTTTGAGTTTGGGCAAGGACACAGGGGCCCCATGATCCCCTATTGCCCGGGGGCCCCATGAGTTGTCAGTCCACCCCTGCACTAGAGTAAACTGTAGTTACAGATTAATATAATGAATTTACATACAAATATAAAGATACATTTACAAGTTAAATATATATCTAAATAAAAATATAGGGCCATCAGCAATTTTGTGGGGGAATATACAGTATCTCACAGAAGTGAGTACACCCCTCACATTTTTGTAAATCTTTTATTCTATCTTTTCATTTGACAACACTGAAGAAATGACACTTTGCTACAATGTAACGTAGTGAGTGTACAGCTTGTATAACAGTGTAAATTGGCAGTCCCCTCAAAATAACTCAACACACAGCCATTAATGTCTAAACCGCTAGCAACAAAAGTGAGTACACCCCTAATGCAGGCCATAGACGGTTCGTTTTTTTTTCGGCCGAAAAATGAAACATCGGTCGTTCTGTTGCTACCAATGATTGGGAAAATCTGCAGTTTTTCGCAAATTTTCCAGCATGACTGATAAAAAAAAAATGAGGAGGAACCACGAAAAGTAATCTTTCGGATGAAAAATCGGCCAATAAACGAACCGTCTATGGCCTGCATAAGTGAAAATGTCCAAATTGGGCCCAATTTCCATCCCCAGTGTCATGTGACTCGTTAGTGTTACAAGGTCTCAGGTGTGAATGGGGAGAAGGTGTGTCAAATGTGGTGTTATCACTCTCATTCTCTTATACTGGTCACTGGAAGTTCAGCATGCCACCTCATGGCAAAGAACTCTCTGAGGATCTGAAAAAAATAAGTGTTGCTCTACATAAAGATGGCCTAGGCTATAAGAAAATTGCCAAGACCCTGAAACTGAGCTGCAGCACAGTGGCCAAGACCATACAGCGGTTTAACAGGACAGGTTCCACTCAGAACAGGCCTTGCCATGGTCGACCAAAGAAATTGAGTGCACATGCTCAGCGTCATATCCAGAGGTTGTCTTTGGGAAATATACATACGAGTGCTGCCAGCATTGCTGCAGAGGTTGAAGGGGTGGGGTTCAGCCTGCCAGTGCTCAGACCATACGCCTTACACTGCATCAAATTGGTCTGCATGGCTGTCGAATATTTCTCCCTCACTTCTTGCTTTCTCTAAAAATGTAGGATTTCCACTTTCTGTCTCAGTATAATGGTCATCATGACAAATAGAAGGGTTAATCTACCCAGTAGGACACAGACTGCAGTTTAAAAAATTGACATCAAGTCTAACCCTTTCTTGCTAACCAAAACTAAAAATAGACTTGCAGGCTGCTAACGGACCAGTTGAAATGCATTGGGGTTCCTTTGGCCGAAAATTATATTTTGGGAAATTATATGTAAAATTATTTATGTACAGCTTTCTTCCTTAGGGATAGGGGTATATGTGTCTCTTTTTAACAATTTAATCAGAGCCTTGACAATTTTAGGATGTGATTTTAATGCATAGCTGTAACAATACAAAAAGTTTTTTTTTTTTTTAATATTATTTTGTGGCTGTGTCTAAAGTCCCATGAGAGAATGATTTAAAGCATGCCTTGTCCGTATAGGGATATTGCAGCACTTGGCTCTATATATTTTTGGTTATTTCCCGCCTCGATTATGGCAAATCCCTCCTCACTGGTCTACCGTTACACATGCTATCCCCCCTTCAGTCTATTATGAATGCTGCTACTAGACTCATACACCTTACCAACCTCTCAGCAACTGCTGCCCCTCTCTGACAATCCCTCCACTGGCTTCCACTAACCCAGTGTTTCTCAACTCCAGTCCTCATGGACCCCCAACAGGTCATGTTTTCAGGATTTCCCTCAGATGAAACAGCTGTGGTAATTACTAAGGCAGTGAAACTGATCAAATCACCTGTGCAAAATAATGGAAATCCTGAAAACATGACCTGTTGGGGGTCCATGAGGACTGGAGTTGAGAAACACTGCACTAACCCAATGTATAAAATTCAAAATACTAACCACAGCTTACAAAGCCATCCACAACACTGCCCCTAGCTACATCGCCAATCTCATCCACAGATACCGCCCAAATTGCCCACTCCGCTCCTCCCATGATATCCTCCTCTCTATCTCCCTCATCAACTCCTCCCACGCTCGCCTCCAGGACTTCCTCTGGAACTCCCTACCACAGCATGTCCGGTCAGCCCCACCCTGTCTGCCTTTAGGCGATCTTTGAAAACTCACTTCTTCAGGGAAGCCTACCCCACCTCCACCTAGGAACTGTACTTGAATCACCTCCGCCAGATCATCCCCCGCAACTATCACCTTTTGTATCACCTCCCCCTTTCTTTAGATTGTAAGCTCCATGAGCAGTGCCCTCCTATTCCTTCTGTACTGAAATGTATTGTAATTGTACTGTCTCCCTTATATTGTAAAGCGCTGAGCAAACTGTTGGCGCTATATAAATCCTGTATAATAATAATAATAATATATTTGTAAATATTTCAGAAACTAAAAAAAAAAAAAACCAAAAAAAAACCCACAGAAATATCTTTACATAAACTTTGGGTGCATGGACAAATAACAGGTTCATTTTAAATTTACTAAACACCTCTATGATAAAGTAAAAAAAAAAATCTTTTGTAATACATTATTTTTTTTTTCTTACACAAGGAAAATGTGTCTTTTATTTTGTACAACTGCTTAACTTCATTAATAGCCACAATATTTCCCGGTGAGCGTCACACCGCTGCCCCCCCCCCCCCCCCCCCCCCAGGTCCGCATCACTGCTAGTGTCTGCGTGTTTCCTAGTTTAGCCCGCTCTGTATAAACAGACTAATCTAATGGCTTGCTCAACCATCTCACATTGGCAGAATTTCAGAAAATCACTCATTTCTATGACTGGATTTCATGCCAAGGAGCGAAGAAAAAAGCGTAGTTTTATTGCAGAAAGATCTTTCTTAAAGTTATCTTTCATAAATGTTATATAGCTATCATTTGGAATACTGGTGTTGGGTGACTCAAAATAATTTATTGGGCAAAGGCTCAAAACGGAGAGGAAGTACAATATTCTGTATGTAATGTATAGGAGGTGTTTTTAATTCCAGCATATCAAATATTTGACATTGCGCTTTGATGGAGAGAGATAGCTGTCACTATAAAACAAATGTGTATCGTCCATTGCTTGGCATCCAGCAAAATTATTTACCCAGCTTTGGATGTGTAGTGTTTTTGTATACGTTTTATTTATTCTGTTCAGAACTAAAAGAAGATTTTTAAAAAGATGAGGTTTTTTTTTTTTTTTTTTTAGTTTATCATTAAAGCTGAACTCAAGACAGTCATAAAAAACACAAATGATTGCAGCTCTGTTTTCATTAATACATTATTAAAGCAACCCTGTTGCTATAGAAAAGTTACAAAGTCAATGCATACCTGTAAAAATTTGCCTTTGCTGCTGCCCACGACACTGCATCAATCTGGGGGAAAAAAAAACACATCTGCTTAAGGTGTCCGTTTATGACACACAGAATAGCTGAGATTCAGAGGATCACAGCTATTCTCTGGTCATTCACAGTTTATAACACCCAGGAGAATATGTTCAGCCCTTCTCTGGAGATCTGTGTTCTCCCTCCAGATTCTCCAGCCCAGAGCTGGAGAAATGGAGGGACCGAAAACTAAGCAGAGATAATTTACCTCTGTTTAGTAAACTGATCTTTTACTGTAATCTCGCGAGATTATAGTAAAATCAGCCATTTTCCAGCGTTTGTAGACCGTTCTCCCTTCGTTTGTAGAACTGATTTACATATGCTTCATAAACGGCATTCACAGGAGAACTGTGTTCTCCGAGAATGCCGGAGAACTGAGCAGTGATCTATTACTGCTGGTTCATAAACGGACACCTAAGTCTGCAGAGAAATTGACTCTTTTGGGAGTTGCAATCTCAGGAGTCCCTGCAGCTCTCATTGGTTTCTCCTGCTGACCTACAAGTCATGCTCAGATATCCTGTAAGTGCAGGTTGTCTTAGGCCTGCCCCTGAGGGAGCATCAACATGGCGCCCTGCATTCAAAGTGTAATGATGCAGAGTGCTGACTGATGATTATTTGTCGGCACCACTTCATGATTGAGGACTCCCCAATGCTGGAAGAAGACCAAAGAGGTGGAAGCACATTGTGTGACCAGTTTGAGGGCATCTATTTTTATCATATTTATAAAAAAAAAAAGTATTAGATACTGCTCATGGGATGTCCAGAGGGAAGGGAAAGCAGGTCAACTGACCAGGGACTAAGCCCAAAGTTGGGCTTTAGGCCTACCCTGCTTAACCCCCCCAAAAAGTGCCACCATGTATTACCACAAAGTTTCATCTGTGACCAGATTTGGTAGGATGGAAGTGACTGAAACTAAACTTTTAGTGAGTGCCTACCAAAAAAAAAATCTATGAATATAGTTAGCTTGCACCATAGGACACCACAGTGTGCCTGTTTTGTAGTGAGGTTAAACACACCCATTTCACTCCCACAAGGCAGTGCTTGGTATCTGAGCCAGCTATTACTAGCTCATGCAGTATCACACAGGGGGCATGCCTAGAGCTATGCAAATACCAACTTATTAAAAGTTGGGGTTAGTATGTGAACACAGGGAATAATCTAGAAAATGAGGCTATTACAAAACAAATACTCTGAGGCCTGAAGGCACTTGCTTATGAAGTGGGTATATAGAGCTAAAAAATGTGGGATTTTAGGTGCAAAAGTACAACAGAGAACATGTATTAAAAAGATTTTTACAACTTGTATTAGTCACTATAAAAATAAAAATTGATACAATACTGTTGAAACAATGATGGAACTTGGCTGTGTTACTGCGGTTAGAAGTATAATTTCAGTACATGTTTCGCCCAAAAAGGGCTTCCTCAAGGGAAGAAGTTTTTCAACTGCAGTGCAGTCTACAATATATGAAAAAAATATACATCAAAATAAAATTACAACATAGGTCAATCATTTTAGTTGAATACTTCCCTGAGGAAGCCCTTGTTGGGCGAAACATGTAGGGAAATGATACTTCTCCTAACCGCAGTAA